TGCTCACACAAATTTTTTTATTGTTCATTTCAGCTGGACATCCAAGTGACACCAACTCTTGTCCTCTATGGATCCGGTGCTTTGGTTGTCCTATGGGTTCTATCTTCGGTTGTTTCTGCAATCGATTCCATTCCCTTGTTATGTAGATATGACATTTTTCACCAAACTAGTTGGGCTGCTGTAAGTTCAAGTGCCTTAATTTGGTTTTCGGTGATTAATGACAAATCTAATTATGTGAGACTAACGTTTTTATGAGCCTTTCTTTGACTAGTCTCATTTGGATATGGAAGTAAAAATGATGAGAGGTATGTATTAAACTTCATATATTCTAACTTGGTCTCTCTTGTGGATCCAAAATATAGTGTGAGCTTCCTATTTGATCTTTATTGATTATGTGCATATGCGTTCCTTCATATCCATATGTATGCACATCTTGAGGGGGAGCTTATTCTATATTTTGTTTATTATAAGATTTCTATCTTGATTTGAAATCATTTTTCATCTCATCTCTCTATATTGTTTATATCGGGTTATTATCCATCACCAAAGAGAGAAAAGATTGAAAGATCTTGGATTAAACAATTTATGTAATTGTTACTTTGGTGATAGATGATAAACCGATGTTTATGGGATTAACCTCTCTTTTGCATAAGTTGTCTACTAGGTTATTTCCCGATAATGAGATGTGGAAGACATTCATTCTTTTGTGATGGACCTTAATCATGACAAGGATGAAATGCATGGAGATAAAACGATATGTACCACTTCTTATCTCCTACTTTTTGATAGGTTCATATATATGATTTCCATGTTATTAATATATAAGTGTGAGACTAATGTTTACTCGAATGTTATCTTATTTAGTCTCATTTACATTGAGAACATGGAGATCATGAAGGTATATGTTTTATGTTGGTCTACATCATTACTACATATGCCTTCTCTATATGTATAGGATAAACCCCCATTGGTCATTCTCTAATTATGCATACACTTGCATCTCTTGTATATTTATTTGTATGCATATATTTAGGGGGAGCAAATCCTATACATTTATTGTGCATGTTCTAGATCCATGTTGTTCACCTATTATTTATATCGGATCTTTGCACTTGAGCTTGCATACGAGTATATGACACTTGTGATGTTAATGAATACTCAACAAACATATCCATATCTTTCATATGCAACCGGTTGGTCATCAAGTGAAGGATGACAACCGATTTGTTGAGACTAATGTTCTCCTTTGAGGTGTGAAAAGGAATAGGTCCCACTATGATGAGGCTAATGAATGACACCACGGGTTAGTGGTCGCCAAGCCAAGGACATCGTCATGTTGGCAAGAATGAAGTCAAGCTTGTGATGAGAATAAAGTCTTGACAAAGGATGGACAAGACCTCGGCATAAACATGGTTCAACCGGATGGTCACAAGTGTTGATCTCGGCTCAAGCTTGACCCCAAGATGGATGGCGCAAGGCAAAGGTATAATGTAGCTAAGAATGTTTTCTTAGTCTTTTTCCGGTCTTGGTGTTTGGTGTAGACCGGATTTGCTAGATAGGCGTCGTATTATTAAGAGGGGTCTATGAAGCGAGCTTGTAGATGATCTTGTGCCATATTAGTTCATATGCATGTAGGTGCATTTTGTGGGCTTGTCTAACCAAGTGTGATGAGTTTTCTCAAGTCCTAAACCAAGAGAGAAGTGGGCATGTCCAATAGGAGTGAGTGACATCTTGTGGGTATGTCCGGTGGATATCCTTTGGAGTGTGAGCCCTTTATCCTTGACTTAAGTTGTGTTTCTTGGATGGAATTTTCATGGGTTGGATGGCCCTTTGAATAAGCTTTCCATAGAGTCCAAGAACGCCAAATTCCGAGACCCGAGTCAAGAGATATCGCTGTTTTACTAACTGTCGGTTGAGCTGAAAAGTAACCTGCGGTCTGACCGTGGGCCTTAGGCCGGTCTGACCGGGTCTGTTAGCCGGTCTGACCGGCGTGGTAAGGCCGGTCTGACCGGCCCCACTGGTCTGTTGCACTGGTCTGGTTTTTGGTGGCGATACAGAGCTGCCAGAGCCGCAACCGGTCAGACCGAGCCGACGGCGGTCTGACTGAGCCGTGGACGGTCTGACCGGCCACTACACTGCGGTCAGACTGGCCAGGTTGAGTGGACTCAATGATTGCTCTGTAACGACTAGTTTTCTAGCCGTTACAAAGTAGTCCGGTCTAACCGGCCTCACAACGGCGGTCTGACCGGCAGAGCACAAAGTTGGGGATTTCGATTCAAACGGCTAGTTTTGGTGGTTGGGGGTATATATACCCACTCCCCAGCAGCAAGGGTAAGGTTTTGGCACTCCATTGCATTATCTTGAACCCTTGCAAGAGCTCTCACACCCTTGTACACTTAGTTTATCTAGTGAGGTGTTAGAGAGTGAGTTAAGCCAATCCAAGTGCATTGCTTCATTGTTATAGCTAGTGTGGCACTTGATCATCCTCGGCAAGCATCCTAGACTTGTTACTCTTGGAGGTTGCCGCCTCCTAGATGGCTTGTGGAGGTGTTGCCCTGTGACCTCTCCGAGGAGATTGTGGAGGAGGCCCGGCACCGTTTGTGAGTGGTTTGGAGTTCACCACCTTCGGAGTGAAGGAAGAACTACCCCGAGTGATCGAGACTTGGGTAGTCCTCTCCGTGGGCCGGCTCCCGCCTTGCCCACCCTTGACGAAGGGGGCGTGCGGTGGCTTCGTGGTTGAGCGGTGGAGTTAGGCTCGCCTTAACGGGGATTAGGAAACCGGCGATTTTCCGAACCTCGGTGAAAAATTCCTTGTCTCTTGTCTCATTTATTTGTTGCATTTACATTTGTGCTATTTACATTCATAGAGACATATTTGAGCCCATATCACTTAGGTTTGCAAAACTTAACTTAGTTACTTAGTTAACCTTGCACCTCACCTTGCCTAGCAACTTAGGTTAGTTTTGTTTAAGTGCCATTAAGTTTTAAAACCGCCTATTCACCCCCCCTCTAGTCGGCCTCCTTGATCCTACAGCTGCCCGTATCAATTTAAAATTATCTATTTTTCACATATGATTTTATTTAAAATTATCATTCCTGTTATTCTAATAATTTTATAATTTTTAAAATCCACGTCAGTCACTACCCCTTACTCATTTGTCACATTTTTATTTGCTTACTTGATCTACCACTATTTATATTCATTCTCTTTATAAACTTTTAAAAAATAGGCTTTCTAGTCTTTAGAGTCATTGTCTTGTTGGGTTTCGTTTTCATAATTTTTAGAAGTATCGTCAAACATCGCCAATTTACTGTTCTACGGCTCATCTGCTGCCACCTCTCTTTATTGCCATTGGGATTTTAAAAATCGAACATAATTATTGTTTGTGTTCTTTTTTACTTTTTATAAGTCTCGTCAAATCATTAGCGGCTTCGCCACTTTACTCCTCTATAGCCCGCCCGTTGCCTCCCCTCCTTATTGTTATTGAGATTTTAAAATCGAACATGATTGTCATTGGATTTATTTTACTCTCCAAAAGTCCCATCAACTGTCGTAACCATGTTGCATAACGGCATGCCCATCATCATTGGGATTCTATTTGGGGTTTTGTTTATAGTTTTTGGATATCCCATCAACTGCCAACACTCTACTCCTTTATAGCCCTATTGATTCTCTCATCTTTATTGTTATTTGTCATTGTTATGTTCTAGATGGATTGTTTTTTGAAAATTGCATAATTTTTCATCCCGATAATTTTTATTCATAAATTATATTCCTACTTGAACTCTTATTATTTTTTTCTATTTTTAAAATTTATTTTATTTGTTATTTTGAACTTTAATTAATCTCGTCATGTGTTCTAGATTGTCTCTTATTTCAATAGTCTTTATTTTTTATTACAAATTTTAGTTATTTATAAATTGCATTCTAGTTGAGCTCTTATTTTCTGAATTTATTTTATTTTTTATTTCAAATTTTAATTAATCTCATATTGTGTTCTATATAGATTACTCTTTTAATATTTATTTTTTATTTCCAATTTTAATTGTTTCAAAAATTGTATTCCTACTTAAACTCTCTTTTTTATTTTTTCTAATTTTTGATTTTATTTGATTTTTTATTTTGAATTTTAATTAATATTGTATTGGTTTCTTTTATGGACTATTTTTTCAATACTGCTTATTTTTAATTTCGAATTTTAGTTTTTTTTCAAAATATATTCCTACGGGAGCTCTTCTTTTATTTTTTTTCTAATTTCAGATTTTATTTAATTTTTATTTCAAATTTTAATTAATCTTGTATTGGGTTCTTATACGAACTCTTCTTTCAATATTTTTTATTTTTAATTCCGAATTTCAGTTATTTTTAAAATATATTTCTATTTGGACTCTTCTTTTTTTCTAATTTCGGATTTTATTTTATTTTAAGAGTAAAATACACCAGCGGTACTTAAACTTGTCAGCAGGTTTCAGTTAGGTCCACGAACTTGTAAAGCGCACATCAAGAACCCTAAACTTAGTTTATTGTATCATCCCGGTCCAAAGCCGTGTTTGACCGTGGTCTTGCCTACGTGGCACGCCACGTGGACGATGACATGGATTTTTTTAATATTTTTTCTCCCTTATTCTTTCTCTTTTCTCTTTTATGAAAAGACGATGACATGGACGATGACGTGCATGAGGCATTTTCATCTTTTCGACAAGGAAGAAAGAGAAAAAAAGAAAGAAGAAGGGAGAAAAAATAAAAAAAAATCCATGTCATCGTCTACTTGGCGTGCCACGTAGGCAAGACCACGGTTAAACGCGGCTTTGGACCGGGATGATACAATAAACCAAGTTTAGGGACCTTAATGTGCACTTTGTAAGTTCGTGGACCTAAGTGAAACCTGCTGACAAGTTTAAGGACCGCTCGTGTATTTTACTCTTATTTTAATTCTGAATTTTGATTAATCTCGTATTGGGTTACTATATGGACTATTTTTTTAATATTGCTTATTTTTAATTACGAATTTCAGCTATTTTTAGATTGTATTTCTATTTTGACTCTTTTTTTCTTTTTCTCCGATTCATGTAGGAATTTTTAGCCTCTACAGTGAACGTGGTGTCTTTTTTTAAGGTTGTTTTAATAATAGATAGATAGATATGTAGATATGACATTGTTTACATGTATCGAAAATAGTTAAAATTCGCCGCCCTCCATCTCGCCGCCGCCACCTCCCTCCGCCCGCCGCCCCTCCTCCCATCACATCGGTTTGCGCCGCCGCATCCGCACCGCCCAGCCCCGCCACCACCGAGGACGCGGAACCCGCACCTCCCTCCCACGCCTCCCCCTCCAGACCCGAAGCAGCGGCAGCTCGCGGCGTCAACCTTCATGCTTGACGACACCCCCCACCCCTCCGAAGCGGCGGCGGCCGCCGGTAGCTGCCGACTGGTCCGCCTCCGTGGTGGCCGATGCGCCCCGGTCGTTCTTGCCGTGCTCGCTCCGCGACAGTCTGGTGATACGCCCGATTCTGTTCTCTCGAGCCCGTCGTTCCACCTCGACGCTCCCGATTCCGCGACCCCTGGCTCGGATGTCCCGTCCTCCGTCGGGCTTGACGATATTGTTCCTGAGACCTGAGACCGCGGGCTTCACCGCCCCACGCTTGGCTGGTCTCTCGGCTGTGCCTGGCTTGACGTCTCCTACGACCGCGAGGAAATTTTCTGGTGAAGTTTCTTAACTATTATTGCAATTCGAGTTTTCATGAATTCTAGCGGCCTAGGTTAAGCTCATTTGGCTTCATCCATTGAATTTGCCATCGTTGGTTGTTCATAAACAGCTAACCCAGCATTAATCCACTGATGGTCTGCTTGCTGAATTTATTTCTAAAGTAATTAGCAATCTTTGTTTCAGCCTGAATGATTTGTACTAAAAATTTTCCATTTTTTTTCATGGTATCACAATAGATTGGAACAAGCTAATCTTCTGCTCAAGAAAACACCATTGTTGGAGATGATGACAATTGTCCTCCACTGCTCCTGACCATTCAAACAGGCATGCACTTTCTTTTGCCGATGGGTACATATTATTGTGTTATGCATTTTAGCTACTTGAATAAAATATCCTGTGATTTTACAGGCATGTGCTTTTGAATTACCCTGTCTTTCCTGTAATTAATTTAAGTAGTACGCTAACTGATTTGCACGATCACATGAATGGCAGACTGTCAGAGTTCATCGCTTCAATATTGTTTGGTGATGTGAGAGCTAAGATTATTGTTTCCTTACTAGCATATAAATTTATTCCTGTATAAGAAATTAAGAATAGCTGGTATTTCAAACATATGGTCATTTTGCTTGTCATTCCCGCTTTTCTATCTCCCATTTTCCATAAATGCATGACCCAATGTTCCAAAGTACAGTTGCTAACAGAGCATCATTGCTTGCTTCCAGAACCAATCTAGCCGACGGTTCTTACCAACCCAGTGCAGACTAACGCTGCCCTCGATTTCTTTGAAGATCTTTGAAATTGATGTTTTTTCTGGACTATTGCCATTGCAGAGGAATTCAAATGCAGCACCACTGATCTGTACTCATTTCTCTTTACATATGTTTTCACCATTAAGAGGACCTGCTTCAAGAGAGATGACCTCTGCTTTTGAGTTCTACGGTGCTTCCAATTAATAGTGATTACCAAGCAACAAGCAAGATAAAACAACTGCATTTATCTGTTACTTATGGAATTTATCTGTTTAGAAAGCAAATAGCATTATTGATCATCACTGATCTGATATATCAATTTGTGGTGTACCATAAGCTAGCATGATTTGCTTCAAAAGTTTAGCAAAACAAGTTAAGCTTGGAAGCCACTCATTAACAAAAGAAGCTGATTGTTTCTATTTAGCAGGTTGACAGGAACATGCTCCATTTCATGGTTTTGCTAAATGAAGTGCGGTTGTCATGAGAAATCAGTGCAGAATGGCAAGGTAGATGCAATTATTCGATCAGTGCAGAGAAAATGGAGGCAATGCTAGGGCATAATTTCTTCTAACTGTTTTTCCATTCTTTCCCCTTTCGATTGTACACTCATGGTTGACACATATATGTACAGTTCAGATTTATAAGTTGCAGCTATGCCTTCAATGGATGAAAGTGGGCATATATGTATTTTTTTAGTTGGTTTTAAAGTGAGTGATTTATTTTCTTGTGCTTGGTACAAACTAACAATATGCATGTAAGAAAGGTTTAGGATAGGGTGGATTTACTCCAATGCTGCTTGCAGCAGATAAGTTTACACTATTTAGCCCGCAGGTTCATGGGCAAGTGTTTGTGAGTTTTTTGGTCCAATTTTCCCTAAAATAATAGGCCAAGTCTTTTATTCTTAAATGAAAAACAGGCTTTTCCTATTGTCTTCTGAGGTTTAGCTTAAAAAAGCCCACGGTTCATGAAAAGGTAGTTGTGAGAACTGAGAGATATATAGCCCTTCCTTGGCTTGCTAGCTTTCAACCTATCGTTAGGCAGTAAAATGGAACGATGGCCACTTCTATATATTATGGCTCTGCTGTGCTTATGCCATTTGTTGTTGGAGCATTTCATCCCTAGGTCTGTAGCAGTGTTCCTCTTCATATTCTCATTCCCATGGGCTCAAAAGGTATGTGCGTCGATTCGCATCCAAATAATATCAATGATGGATGTCTTGTAACTAAATGCTAATTCTTAATTATCATAACTAAAGTATATGCAATTTAATCGCAATTAGGTTGTCCAATAAACTTGAAGAAGATATAGGTAAATGGAAGCCTGATGATATCATGTAGGTAAATAGAGGCCTGATAAGATCAAATCAAGTAGGAATCTGTATTCTTTTTTTCCCAAAGATTAAATCAACTGGGAATCTCGATTTTTTCCTTTAAAGTGCTTATATATGCTAATAGGGTAGATTTATGAGGACGTTGCGGGCCCAACCAGGCATGCAAAAAAATCACGAGCCAGGGCGTTGCGGGCCAATCATGGCGGCACACAAAGGCGCATATGGAAAACGGACTCAGGCGTGGACCTGATCGCTGCAAGCGGCAAGGGACGCGTGAAAAGGTAAGCGGCAAGGGGCGCGTGAAAAGGTGCGGGCCTAATTAATTCGTATGCGTCTCGGATAAGAGGGACACTCTGACATAAGAAAAAAGAAAGAATTTGATAGAAATATAAAATTAAAATTGATTCCAATACGGATGACGTACCAAAATTCTGCGAGAACATTTTCAGTTTTTATAGTAGTTGACAAGAGATTTGCATCATCAAATATCGTCGTAGCGTTAGCACGGGCATATTACTAGTGTAGTTAAATTGCACGTTTTAATACTGAAGCTATATTGAGGGACCTGAAGTGGACTTTTATTCCTTTTTTAGGAGGTTACATTCCTCTTGGGCCACATTGGAACCAAGAGTTATAAGCTGTTCATATCGTGGGGCTCTCTCAGGAAGACATTTACTAGCTAGTTCATTCCGTTTCTTCCTCTCTTTTTTTCGTTTCCTTATTAGGTGGTCATTTGACAAACAAATAAACAATCACATTAGCGCCAGGTGATGTCTCAATTCTCAACACCAATCTGGTCGGCATCGAGCGTCAACTGCAGTGTCCATGTCGCTGACCTTCCGCTTCACTCTCATCGCAAATTCAAGTCTTTCTTAAAAAAATATAATCAAATTATAAGAAATAAATCAGAAAATCATATTTATTTGACACCAATAAACATAAAGCTTGGTGAGGAGGAACCAAATGAACATAATACGTATTATAAGTACTACGAATTTGGTCGTAGTTAATGGAGCTGTTTGGCTGCAATTTACAGCATAACTACACAGTCGGCAGCTATCTACTTGCTGCAACAATCAAATTGGCTAGAGAGTGCGAAATAGCATGGTAAATAGCAACTGAATAGTCCCAATATATTTTGGAATGGAGGAGCCTTTTTCAATAATAAGAGGTCTTTATTGCTGCCAAAACATGCCCTGCCAATGTTTTTTTGTTTGAAAAGTACTTGTGCATATCTAGATTGAAGCCACTTTATTGGTAATGGCCATACTAGATTTGGCATCAGTCTAGAACATTTTTCACTATAATTTCACATTTGGGCTCTAAATTGGTGATAAACCAAATAGGACCAAATGCATTTTTTTCCTACCAGAAAATTAATAGTACCAAAACATGCCTACATTTTGGTATTACCAAATAATTGGTAGGATATTTAGGGCCTAACATATCATGCACCTTTTATCACACCGGGTTTAGGCACCAAGATATTTAGGCCTTGTTCGGATCAAAGGGTTTACAGAGGATTTTTTAGGATTCATGATTCCTTTGGATCTGGTACCATTCACACGTTCGGATTGTAGGAATCACACAAAGGAATTTTGAAGGAATACTGTAGCATATTAATCTCTCTAAACGTCGTGGGAGTGTTGAAGTATTAGAGTGCCACATCAGCATATTTTTGCAAAACAGCCCATGCGTTTTTGTTAATTACATACTGGTTCCCACAATAATTGTCCGTTCGATCTCGCTGAAGAGCCGATCTAACCGTCCACGTGTCTACTGTGGCGGCCCTTTCACACCTATGGGATCGTCGGATCAGAAACGGACGGCGCAGATTTCGGCCACCCGCACCAAACCCTAGTTCCTATGAAAACACAAAAATTCCAAAGAGCTCCAAACATCCACTCCAGCCTCTTTTTTTTTATCATCATTGGTTGCCATAGGATGGAATCCTCTTTTATTTTTTTAGTGAAGTGCACGGGCGGTCCTTAAACTTGTAGGGATGTGTCATCTAGATTTTAAAACTCTCAAAATGCATATCCAAATCCTAGAACTTGTGGTTGTGTTTGCAAGCCCTTGTTCCCAACCCCCTCTCCCTCGCTTCCCGCGCGCACGCTTTTCAAACTATTAAACGGTGTGTCTTTTGTAAAAAGTTTCTATATGAAAATTGCTTAAAAAAATAAAATTAATCCATTTTTTGAAAAAAAAAAATAGCTAATACTTAATTAATCACGCGCTAATGGACCATTCTGTTTTCCGTGCGGAGAGAATATGTTCCCATCCCACTCATGCAAACACAGCCTATATAGTATGTTATCTAGGTCCAACGTCGCCACAACCTCTTCAGGATCCTATGTGGCATTAATGTGGCATGCCACACGGACATGACGTGGCATCATTTTGACTAACAAATGGGACCCATTTAAAATTTTTCCTTTTTCTTTTTTTTCTTCTCTTTTTTTCCCTTTCTTCTCCTTTCTCCGTAACTCGAGCAGAAGAAAAGAAAAAAAAAAGAAGAATGAGAGGAAAAAAAAGAAAAAGAAAAGAAGAAAAAAAATAAAAGGACACGTCACGTCCATATGGCATGTCACATCAGTGCCACATAGAATCCTAGAGGGGATGTGTCGATTTGGGACTTAGATGATACACTTTGACATGTTCTGAATCTTGGATATGCATTTTGAGAGTTTAGGGACCTATATGACACAACCCTACAAGTTTAAGGACCGCCAATGCACTTTACTCTTTTTTTTCTATTCTTATGTTCCAATATCCAATCCTACAAAATTCCACTATATATTTCCTAATCCTTCATTTTCATGTGCAACTCTATAATATTTCTATGTAATTTTTTATTCCTATATTTGTTCTACCTATGTTCCGAACTAGTAGCCCTTAACTTTGGCACCGAACTATGGAACCATTTTTCAACAAATTCTACATGTCCATTTATAAATATAAGTATTTTAAAAAATGATCAAATTTTAGTAGTACTCGTACTAGTAGACTAGTCGTACTATTCCAGCTCACTACGGAGTACACAGGCTACACGTGGATTTTTGGCAATTTGGTCCTTTTAAAAAATTTATTTCGTAAATAGACTCTAAAAAAAACTTATCTCGAAAATTGTCTCTTTTGGAGCGCCAGAGTGACTGGCACCATCGTCCAACAGAACGGTGCCAGCCTCTCTAGCACCGTCCTCATGCCACCGTGGCGAAGCGGCGCTGAGGTGGCAGGGGGAGCACGCCAATGTGGCTGGCACCGCCCCCCTCTCGCCATTTCTTTCTCTCTCTAGTGTAGAGGAGAGAGATGTGCAACTTTTATTATTATTATTATTATTAGGAGCACACATAGAAAAATTAAATTCAAAAGGACGAAATATGTGACTTGTAGAATTTTTCAAAGCTATACCGAAAAGCTCCCCTCCCTGCTCTTCGTTGTTTTGGTTTTTTCTATAGCCCCAAAAAAATTAGATTAGATTTCGAACACTCTTAGGCTTAGCCTTTTTTTACATCTTTTACCTCCTATAAAAAAAGTTAGGGTTTGTTACGTTCGGGTGTCATTTCTTAAAACAACCGTAACTTTCTCATACTGACTCGGAATCAGGCAAATGATATATCCACGGATATCTACAGAAAAAGTTACATCTGATTCTCCCCTGCTTTGCTGGATTCGGTGAAATTAGAACCTCCAAATTCCGCTTGCAAGATTGTGTTTTCGAGGCGGGAAGCTTTTCTGTAGAGCTTAAGAAAATTCTACACGTCACATATTTCATCCATTTAAGTTTAACTTTTTTATGATTGGTTCTTGTGTCCTCCTAAGCATAAAAAGTATCAAAAAAATAAAAAAAATCCGGGGGGATGGCGCCAACCACATTGACGCGCTCCCCCTGCCACCTCAGCGCTGACCCACCATGGTGGCAGGACGACGGTGCCAGCCACTCAGTCACCAAAAAAGACCATTTTTGGGATAAGTTTTTTCAGAGATTTATTTGTGAAATTTGTGAAAGGACCGAATTGTGAAAAATCCTTCAGTCTACACTAGGTGGTGAACAGGCCAGGACAGTCTCCTGCTGCGGCTATCAAATCGAAGCAGACGAGAACCTGGAACTCGAAAAGGCTGGGCGCCTGGGCAGGCCAGGCCAGGCCAGAAAGGCGCGCGTAGAGCCCGGAAGGCAAGTACCGCGACGACCGTCAAACTCCACCCGCCGCACGCCCACCGAGCCCGAGGCCTACAAAGCCTGGGCCTCCATGGCTCCATGCATCCGACCACCACCGAGGGAGTGCGGCCCGGGCCGCTGCCTGCCCAAAACGGAGGCGGCAGCGGCGGCAGTGGCCCAGTGCAGTGCTGCATGCGATTTGACGGTTGATCTGATGCTTCGATTGGATACGGCGG